CACAGAGTCTTTTAAATGACTGGACCCCCAGGGAAGTCCCTCAAACGCATTTTAAAAATGAGATGGGGGAATTCCCTGGCGGTCCAGTGGTTAGGACTCGGTGCTTTCATTGCTGAACCGCTGAAGGTGCTGGCTCCCATCCCTGGTCGGGGAACTAAGATCCTGAAAGTCGTGAGGCGCGGCCAAAAAAAAAAAGGTGAGATGGACAGGTGGATAGAAATGTTCCCTCTGCCAGAGGCGGGGATTCCACAGTGAGCAAGGCTGCCCTCATGGAGCTCATATTCCAAGTGGAAGAGGGAGAAAAGCCAGAGAAATATTTATCAGATTGCAACATGGGAAGTGAAGAAAAATAAAGTTGGGGAAGAGATATCAAGGGGAGCGGGGGGAGTGCCATTTTAGAGAAAGTAGTCAGGGAAGTGCTCTCTGAGGTTATGATCAAGTTCTGAAGTAAATTAGCAAGTGAGTCATATAGGAAAGGGCATTCCAGGCAGAGGGAACAGCCGGTGCAAAGGCCTGGGGGCAGGCCTGCAGGGAACTTCAAGGAGAAGACCCGTGTGGCTGGAATGGATGGGGGTCAGGGAGTAGGTGAGATCAGGGAGGGCATTGGCCTGGGGAGGAGGACTTTGGCTTTTATTCTAAATATGACAGAATGCACTAAGGGGCTATTCCCCCCACCCAGCTTTACTGAGGGATAATTGGCCAAAATGTATAAATTTAATGGGGAATTCCCGGCGGTCCAGTGGTTAGGACTTGGCCCTTTCACTGCTGAGGGCCCAGGTTCGATCCCTGGTTGGGGAACTGGGGAACTAAGATCCCACAAGCCATGCAGCGTGGCAAAATAAATAAATAGATAGATAGATAGATAAAAAAATAATAAATTTAAGGTGTACAACATGATTTACTACATGTATATATTGCAGAGGGATTACCACAATAAAGTTAATTAACCCATCCATTACCTCACGTAGTTACCATTTTTTGGTGTGTATAGTGAGAGCATTTAAGATCTACTCTCTTAGTAAATTTCAAGTATACAATACAGTATTAGCTACAGTCACCATGCTGTACATTAGGTCCCCAGAACTTATTCATCTTGTAACTGAAAATCTGTACCCTTTGATCAACATCTCCCCATTTCTCCCCCACCCCCAGCCTCTGGCAACAACAATTCTTTTACTTAATTAAGTAATTATTAATTAATTTTTATTGCGAGACAATTGACATATAACACTATATTAGTTTCTATATTTGTATATGTTGTGAAATGATCACCACAGTAAGTCTACTTAACGTCCATCACTACGCGGTTACAATTTTTTTTCGTTATGAGACTTTTAAGATTTACTCTCTTAGCAACTTTCAAATGTATAATACAGTTTTATTAACTATAGTCACCATGCTACATGACATCTCTCTGTTTCTATGAATTCAGCTTTTTTAGATTCCACATGTAAGTGAGATCATACAGTATTTGTCTTTCTCTGTCTGACTTATTCAAGGTCCATCCATGTTTGTCACAAATGGCAGGGTTTCCTTTTTTTTATGGCTGAATAATATTCTGTTATATATCTATATCACATTTTCTTTTTTTTTAATTTTTTTTTTAAAATTTTGTCTGCGTTGGGTCTTTGTTGCTGCACGTGGGCTTTCCCTAGTTGCGGCGAGCGGGGGCTACTCTTTGTTGTGGTGTGCAGTCTTCTCATTGCAGTGGCTTCTCTTGTTGGGCGGAGCATGGGCTCTAGGCACGTGGGCTTCAGTAGCTGAGGCTCGTGGGCTCTAGAGCGCAGGCTCAGTAGTTGTGGCACACAGGCTTAGCTGCTCCGTGGCATGTGGGATCCTCCCAGACCAGGGCTTGAACCCATGTCACCTGCATTGGCAGGCGGATTCCTAACCACTGTACCACCAGGGAAGCCTGTCGCATTTTCTTTATCCACTCATCTGCTCACACTTAGATTGCTTCTGTATCTTGGCTATCGTGAATAATGCTGCCGTGGACACAGGGGTGCAGATATCTCTTTTGGGATACTGATTTTGTTTCCTTTGGATATATACCAAGAAGTGGGACTGCTGGATCCTATGACAATTCTATTTTTAATTTTTTGAGGAACCTTCATATTGTTTTCCATAGTGGCTGCACCAATTTACATTCCCACCAACGGTGCACAAGGGTTCCCCACTGGGGGGCAGAGCAGGGGAGAGACCTGATTTGATTTGCTATTTTTTTTGCGGTACGCGGGCCTCTCACTGTTGTGGCCTCTCCCGTTGTGGAGCACAGGCTCCGGACGCGCAGGCTCAGCGGCCATGGCTCACGGGCCCAGCCGCTCCGCAGCGTGTGGGATTTTCCCGGACCGGGGCACAAACCCGCGTCCCCTGCATCGGCAGGTGGACTCTCAACCACTGTGCCACCAGGGAAGCCCGGTTGTGACTCTTAAAAAGTGGATTTTAGGGAATTCCCTGGTGGTCCAGTGGTTAGGACTCTATGCTTTTCACTGCTGTGGGCCTGGGTTCAGTCAGGGAACTAAGATCCTGCAAGCCATGTGGCCAAAAAAAAAAAAAAAAAAAGAGTGGATTTTAAAGGAGAGTTATTTTCTTAATAAGTTAGGAGTCTTTGTTGGGCATAATGAAAGTTTTGGGTATAGATAGTGTGAAGGTTATACATTGTGAATATATTTAATGCCACTGAATCGTACACTTACAAGTGGTGAAAATGATAAATATTATGTTATGTATATTTTACACCCCCCCCCCAAAAGAACAAACTGAACACCACACTGATTGTAAAGACTTTTACTTTGGGGTCCAATAATTATTGTTTAAGACATTTTGAGTTTTTGTTTTTCTTTTGCCTGCTACTGGAATCATCCTAATTCATGTCAACTTTCATATTGATGCAGTGCAAGGTCCATCCTTCCTCAAATAAATGAATTTGCTGGTATTTCTGATCCCAAGGTTCCCTGAATGTGAATTTTGAGTGCAAAGGAAAGCAAGTCATTGCCTTAATTTAAAAGGAGGAAACCTCAAACCTCATTCATTCCTTTTCATATCACACTGACATAAAAAGTAGTAATAATAAATCCAAGAACTTAGCACGTATTTTGTTCCTATTAAGTTCCAGAATTTTTCACATCTCTTCTTTTAAGTTTGGCAAGTCTTTTAGATGCTAAATCCTCCGTGAAGGTGTCATCAGCTAGAAAGTGGCAAAGTTAGGACCTGATCCCCATCGCCTCTTTCTATTTTTTATCATATCACTGTTTTGTGCTACCTCTGTAGAATTTAAGCCAAAAACTAAAGTGATAACATCATGGAAAATTTAAAAAAAAAAAGGAAACTTTAGCTAACGATCTATGCATTGCTGAAGCATTCAGAGGTCGATGTCTGCAATTTACTTTTTGGTTTGTTTTCGGCCATGCAGCGTGGCACGCGGGATCTTAGTTCCCTGATCAGAGATTGAACCTGCGCCTCCACAGTGGAAGTGTGGAGTCCTAACCACTGGACCGCCAGGGAATTCCCTGCAATTTATTCTGAAATGCCTAAAAAAATGAGCTGGCTGGGCAGGTGGAAAGAAATGTGCTAATGCAGCATGGCAACCGAAGTGGGAGAGCCTAGGCGGTAGCCCATGGGTATTCCCGTATAATCCCCTTAACTTTGCTGCATGTTTGAAAATTGTCATAATAAAATGTTGGGGGGAAAAATGTCCTTTACTATTAGAAATGTGTATTCAATTATTTTCTGAGATTTGCTTTAAAATCACTGTAAGAGAGTGATAGATGAAATAAAATTAGCCGAAAGTTGATGATTATCGAATGAGGCCCGGTCATGGGCCCACGGGTTCATTGTACTATTCTCTCTACTGGTGTGTGTTTGAAAACTTCCTTATTAGATAATTGACAAAGAAAAAGATACTTCTGGCTCTCTAGTGAAGAGAAGGGAGGAGGGAAAGGGTGGCAGGAGAGGCCAGAGTGAGGGTAGGGTTTGTGTTTCGGCGTCTGCTTTCAGTTTGGGAGGGTGCCCAGGGTGGGAAGTGGTCACCTTCGGTTTTTCCCTAACTGAGGCCCCCCAACTCCCCTACCCGCACGCCTCCCACCCCCTGCCCTAGGCCTGCAGTTCTGCCCACCCTCCAACATCAGCCTCACCGGAAGTGAGGCCCAGGACAGCTCCCCCCTCCCCGCACGCCCCCCCGCCCCGCCACCTCCACATCTGCTACTGATGTCAACAGCCAGGGTAGGCGGGGGCCATGTTTTTCGGTTCCCGCCTAGCCTCCAGGGAGGGGTGGACCCCCCCATCCCCACTCCTTACTCACAATGATGGACACTGTCACACACATACTAGGCCCTGCCCTGGGCCAGAGACAAAATTTTATTGCAAAACGGAGACCTTCGAGTCACAAGGACGTCAGACCTGGCCTCTTCCCTGTAACGGGGAGTTGGAATCTGGCTCCATCCACTGGGTCTAACTGGAGGCGGGTGGGGGGAGCAGGGGAGGTTTTCAACATGGTTATATAAGCTGGAGTGTGTGTGTGTGTGTGTGTGTGTGTGTGTGTGGTGTGTTCCCCTGATCTGAGTTTCCACGTATGTCCAAGTTTACTTTGTCCCCAGGCTTGTGCACAATTGCACACTGGGGTCTGTCTGTATTTGGGAGCATTTGGGGGATCAGGCTGCCTGGAAAGGGGTGCCCTTGAGGGCTGAAGGTGTGGAGGAGGCCAGGGCTGGGCCTCCGCAGGAGTCGTATATCTTAGCGGGAAGATACCCCGGAGGTGGGCGGGTGTCCCACATGGGCTGGCTGTGTGGTTCAGTGGTTGGGGGCATGTGGATGACGACAGTCTTATGCCTGGATAGCGGTACGGTCACTTGAGGGCTGAGGACAGAGATGGTCTCTGTGTGGTGACATGAGGTGGCATGGGGCATGTTCTCTGCTCTAGGCTCCCAGAGATGGTGGCCCTGGTAAGTCTGATGAGTTAAGAGGGCACGTGGGCTGCAAACACTGTGGCTGTTTCCGTGGCTTGTGAAGGCGGCAGCTGAATCCCCACGCGTGGGTTGTGGGTCCGGGGGAGCTGTGCTGTGTATGAGTTGGTGGGTTATCCGGGCATGTGGTTGTGATTCCAGATGGACTAAATTTGTCAGTAGAAAGCTGCGTGGCCGAGTTGCCTTGTGGCCCTCGTGGGTGTGTCTGGGTGTGTGGTTGCGTGGTCTGATGACCCTGTGCATGTGTAGGCTGAATATATGTGTGACCGACTCTAGAAAACAGCTACAGGTGTGCGAAAGTGGCTGCCTGTGGTGTAGGCGTGTGGCTCAGGAGACACAGCCATGTCCATGGCAACCGCCAAGGCTGCTACCTCCCAAGTTTCCCTTCTTCATCCGGTCCACACGGTGGAGTGGGGTGGAGGTCAGCGGGGCCGGAATTGCAGCTGGAAGGCTTGGGGGATGTTGAAAAGGCCACTGACGGCCGGCTGGAGGTTCAGGGCACCCGGTGGGCACGGGTTCCCCAGCGAGAAGGCCTGCAGGATGGCGGTGAACAGGAGGAAGAGCTCGGTCCGAGCCAGGCCCTCCCCGAGGCAGACACGCTTACCTGGAGGGGAGACAGATGGCGCTGTGCCAACCGTCCTCACACCCAGGCCTGTGGGAGGACCAGTGGGTAGACAGGGGCGGACCCAGCAGATACCTAAGGAGAAGGGCAGGAAGGCCTCGTGCTTTTTGAACTTTCCGTCTGCATCCAGGAATCGTCCTGGGTTGAACTCCTCGGGCTGTTTGAAGACCTCAGGGTCATGCAGGATGGAACCAAGGAGGGGGAAGACCTCCGTGCCCTGAGGGGAGATCATAACAAAACTACAAACATCCCTCACCCCGCAGGCCTTCAGTCCTCGAGGGTGGAGCACAAGAGTCTGGTGTGTTGGGGAGACCGGTTCACGGAACACAGCGGCATCAATGTTTATCGAGTGCTTGTTATGTGTCAGGCACTTTATTAATCATTACATATGTATCGCCTCATATGTAATAGGTACATGTATTATACTCACACACACACACTCACAAACATACACACAAACTCACTAAATCTTTTTAACAAGTCTAGGGAACAGTTAGTAATATGATCCCATTTTAAAGATGGGGGAGGGACCTCCCTGGTGGTCCAATGGCCTAAGACTCCACGCTCCCAATGCAGGGGACTCAGGGTTCGATTCCTGGCCGGGGAACTAGGTCCCACATGCATGCCACAACTAAGAGTTCGCATGCCACAACTAAGGAGCCCTCTTGCCGCAACTAAGACCCGGCACAACCAAATAAATAAATTAATTAAATATTTAAAAAACCAAACCAACGAAAGATAATGTCTTAGAGGCTGCTTATAAGGCGGGGAAGATAACTGTCCACTGGTTAAACAGGGTGCTAGGAACAGTCAGGTCTGTAACTCGGTAGTACAAATGGATTAAAGGATAGGGCTAACAATGATGCAACAGTGTGGAATATTAAAAAAAAAAAAAAAAAAAGATGGAGGACTTCCCTGGTGGTCCAGTGGTTAAGACTCCGTGCTCCCACTATAGGGGGCACAGGTTCGATCCCTGGTCAGGGAACTAAGATCCTGCAAGTCGCGTGGTGCAGCCAAAACAAACAAAAAGTGGGAAAACAGAGGCCCAGAGAACGTAAGCAACTTGCCCAAAGCAACATTTGGACGTGGCAGAGCTTGTTATTTTTATGTTTGTTTTTAAACTTTGGGGCTATGTTGTGATTCAGCTGTGGCTGTCCTAAGGCACTTGGCTAAGAGTCCAGCTTTCTGCCACTATGATCTTCTGGAGGTGAAGGGTGGGTGGATGGGGGCTGCCCAAGAAGGCTTCCCCTGCCCAGGTTTGGGGAGAGGGGCAGCCCCTTCCGCTGAGATCAGAGTCCCCATGTTCCCAGGACTGTGGTGGAGGGTGAAGGAAGGTAGGGAGTACGAGGAGAGGGCGAGGGATCTCCTTTGTTAGGGATTCTGGCTAATGGGGCTCCGAGTTGGGAAGGTGAGTGAGGCTTCAGGAAAAGGTCAGGCTAATGTTGTTAAAATAAGAGAAAGGCAGATAGCAGTGTTTAACCACTGCTAAAGCATAGGCTCTGGGTTCAAATCCTGCCCCTACTGCTTGTAGGCTGGGAGAGCTTGCCAAGTCTTCTAACCTATCAAGGCCTCAGTTTCCTCATTTGTAAAATGGGTGTGATAATGATGATAACGATGTGATAATGATGTAGTGCTGCTCTGAAGATTAAATAAGGTAATACATGTAAAGCATTTAGAATAATACCTGGCACAGAGCAGATCCTCGATCACAGACGCCTGTTATTGCTATTATCATTATCTGTAGTTGCAAGAGTCATTGCTGTAGCAATAGTCGCTGCTGTGGTGTACACAGGAGCCCCACCCCCGGCACAAAGAGCTCATTCGGTGTTTAACAAGCATCGTTTCACAGATTCCTTACAATCCCAAGATGATACTATTATTACTCCCAATTTAGAAGAGGAGGGACTTCCCCGGTTGCACAGTGGTTAAGAATCCACCTGCTTGGGGCTTCCCTGGTGGCGCAGTGGTTGAGAGTCCGCCTGCTGATGCAGGCGACACGGGTTCGTGCCCCGGTCCGGGAAGATCCCACATGCCGCGGAGCAACTAAGCCTGTGCACCACAACTACTGAGCCTGCGCTCTAGAGCCCGTGAGCCACAACTACTGAAGCCCGCGTGCCTAGAGCCCGGGCTCCGCAACAAGAGAAGCCACCGCAATGAGAAGCCCGCACACGGCAACAAAGTGTAGCCCGTGCTCGCTGCAACTAGAGAAAGCCTGTGTGCAACGGAGACCCAACGCAGCCAAAAATATATAAATAAATTAATTTAAAAGAAAAAAAAAAAGAAGAAGAGTAGATGGAGGTTCAGAGGGTGAAGTGATTTGCCCAAGATCTCAGCTAGAAAACAGCAGGACTGGATTCTAACTGCTATGAACTGGATTCTACAATGAAGCTCAAGGAGGGAGCAGCTTGCCCGGAAGGCACCTTCGGTTTCCAGGGAGAGGTCGCCCCCTAGTGGTGCTGGTTCTGAGTTGCTCTGGAATGAAGGGGCAGGAACTGAGAGAGAGAGAGAGAGAGAGAGAGAGAAAGAGTGTGTGTGTGTGTGTGTGTGTGTGTGTGTGTGTGTGTTGTGTGTGTTGGGAAGGAGGGAGAGCCTGATCGTGTTTGCAGCCGGGTGGAGGGTGAGGGCCGGAGGGTGAGGGCCTCCGTCGGACCTCAGTTCTCAAATTGCTTCCCTGCCTGTCACGTTATCTGATTGTCCCCACCACGATTGGAAGGAGGTAGAATTAGGATCCATTGGACACATGGGGGAAACCGAGGCTCAGAGACAGAGTCAAAAGGCAAGAAAAATGTATACAGAAAGAAACAAAGAGAGATGCAGAGACAGGGACACAGAAAAAGAAAGGAAGATGTCAGCCAGAGAGGAGAGAGAAAGAGGAAGAAGATGCAGAGACAAACTGACCAGGATTCAGAAAAAGAGACAAAGATAGCAACGGACTCAGGCCCGAGACAGAGACAGCTGCTGGGCCTGGCTGACCCGCACACCCACCTGGGGCAGGGTGTACCCCCGGAAGCGGGTGGTCTTGACGAGGGCTCGGGGCACTCCCATGGGTACAAGCGCCAGCAGCCGCTGTGCCTCATGCAGAACCGCGTCCGTGTAGGGGAGGCGGGCTCGGTCCCCCAGGCTTGGCGCCTGGCCGGGCCCCAGCTCCCGCGTCAGCTCCGCCTGCACTCGCTCTGCATCCAAGAAGAGGAGAGTTGGAGGTCAAAGGTGGGGCGGGGCCCTACGATCCTCCCCTCCGACGCCCCATCTTCTTTATTTTTTAAGGTTTATTTATTTATTTATTTGGCCGTACCACACGGATCTTAGTTCCCCAAGCAGGGATTGAACCCGGGCCCTCGGCAGTGAAAGTGCGGAGTCCCAGCCACTGGACCGCCAGGGAGTTCCCGGACGCTCCATCTTCCTGAGCAGCTGTGGTTAGGGGTGAGGCTGGCGGGCAGGGAGGAAGAGTCCTCCAGCCCTCTGCAGACCGGGTCCCACACATCCCGTGTGGTGGGCATCACATCTCTCCTCTTTTTTTTAACGGTATGCGGGCCTCTCACTATTGCGGCCTCTCCTGTTGCGGAGCACAGGCTCCGGATGCGCAGGCCCAGCGGCCATGGCTCACGGGCCCAGCCACTCCACGGCATGTGGGATCTTCCCGGACCGGGGCACGAACCCGTGTCCCCTGCATTGGCAGGTGGACTCTCAACCACTGCGCCACCAGGGAAGCCCACATCTCTCCTCTTTCAATTCCCATAGCAATCCTGTGAGGTGGGGGAACATAATCTAGCTCCATGTCCCAGATAAGGACAGAGGCCTAGTGAGCTGAAATAGCAGCTGACTCCCAGGTCCCATCTTCCAGGTCAGCCCACCCCACTGGCTCAACAGCACTGGACGCAGCTGCGTGACCCTGAAATGCTGGAGTTCCTTGGGGCACATTCCCAGCCCTGCCTCACCCACTTACCCTCCCTCACCAACACAGCTTCAGGTCTTGCCTGTGCCCTGATAACCCCAATTTGTTTCTTATCTCCAGTCCTGATGCAGGTGTCTCGTGGCCTTCTGGATGTCCCCCCACCCCCGGTGGTTCCAGGTCCCTCACACTCAAATTGTCCCCAAATGGCTTCAGCATCTCCCCTGAAATAGCTCCTTATCCCTTCTGTCCCCATCTCAGGATGGCCTCATGGTCCCCCGGTCCCCTGGCCAGAGCCCTGGGCCTGTCCCTGGATGCCTCCCTCCCTTGTCATTCTCCACCACCTGCCTACTTGGACCCCTCTCTCCTCCCCACAGCTTGGCCCAGCCCTGTTTGTTCTCTCTGGCCTAGGTCCCTACCTTGTCCTCTGCCCTGGGCTCCTGGCATCCTCTTTCAGACCCTACAACTTACCTCTTCATGACAGACCAAAGGATTTTTCTAAAATGCTCATTTGTCCCTGCCCTCCCCTGCTCAACGACCTTCCATGGCTCCCCATGGCTCAGGATTAGGTGCACAACGTACCACCAAGGCGGCAAGGCCGGAGACGCCTCCTGCCTCATTTCTCATTTTACTAGACCTCTCACTGCAGCCGGCAGTCCGCACGCTTCTTGCTTTTCAGACGCACCGGATGCCAGTTCATTCTCGCCTCCAGGCTCTGGCTCAGGCTGTCCACTCCCCTAAACATCCTTCCTCTCGAGCCCTCCCTCCTGTTCCCAGGGCCTGGCTGGTGGAGAAGCTTCCTACCTTGGACCTGAGGGTATTTCAGCAGGAGCAGGAGAGTGTAGCGAATCGTGTTGCTGACTGTCACCGTCCCGGCGAACAACAGATAAATGACCGTCATCAGCAAGTTCTTGTCAGTGAATTCTGTGTTAGGGTCTTGCTTCTCCTGGGGGAAACCAGGCAGAGGAGCTCAGAGAACACAGGCTGCTGGGAGTAGAGACCCAGCACAGCCAGGTTTGGGGTGCAGCACAGCAAGTTATAACTTTGTCAGGGAGTTTAAATAAATGTGTGAGAAAGTTGGGAAGTGGGCTCTTGATATTAGTTCTCTCGGGGTGAAATGTTTTAAAAATAAAAGAGAGGGGCTTCCCTGGTGGCGCAGTGGTTGAGAGTCCACCTGCCGATGCAGGGGACACGGGTTCGTGCCCCGGTCCGGGAAGATCCCACGTGCCGCGGAGCGGCTGGGCCCGTGAGCCATGGCCGCTGAGCCTGCGCGTCCAGAGCCTGTGCTCCGCAGCAGGAGAGGCCACAACAGTGAGAGGCCCGCGTACCGCAAAACAAAAACAAAAACAAAACAAAACAAAAAATAAAAATGAAAGAGAGTGGCCACTATAAAACGAACAAACAAACAGAAAATGACAAGTGTTGGTGGAGACACGGAGAAACCGGAACCCCTGTCGCCAAGCGGGTATATAAAAGGGTGCAGCTGTTATGGCAAATGGTACAGCGATTCCTCAAAAAAGTAAAATAGATTTACCATGTGATCCAGCAGTTCCACTTCTGGGGATTTATCCAGAAGAGTAGAAAGCAGGATCTTGAAGAACATTTGTATACCTATGTTCATAGCAGCATTATTCATAATAGCCAAAAGGTGAAAGCAACCCCAAGTGTCCACTGATCGATGAATGTGCTATATCCACACAGTGGAATATGATTCAGCCTTAAAAAGGAAGGAAATCTTGTCACATGCTGCAATGTGAATGAAACTTGACCACATTATGCTAAGTGAGATAAGCCACGAAAGGACAAATACTGTGTGATCCCACTTATATGAGGTCCCTAGAGTAGGCAAATTCATAGAGTAAGGAAGTAGGAGGGTGGGGGCTGAGGGCTGGGGGAGGGAAGGATGGGGATCTGTTGTTTAATGGGTATAGAATTTCAGTTTTGCAAGTTGAAAGTGTTCTGGAGATGGATGGTTGTCATGTGAATATCTAACACCACTGAACTGTACACTTGAAAATGGCTAAGTTTTATGTTATGTATATTTTACTATAATTAAATTAAAAAAAATTTTTTTTTGGCCATGCCACATGACTTGTGGGATCCTAGTTTCCTGACCAGGGATCGAACCCGGGCCTCCTGCAGTGGAAGCACAGAGTCCTAACCACTGGACCGCCAGGGAATTCCCATTCCCTTTCATTTCTTAAATTAAAAAGATTTAATTATATTTGAGATTAACAGGTACACACTACTATATATAAAATAGATAAACAAGGACCTACTGTATAGCACAGGGAACTATATTTAATGTCTTACAATAACCTATAATGGAAAAGAATCTGAAAAAGAATATATATATGATTCAGTTTCATATATATATATATATATATAAATATATATATATATAACCGAATCACTCTGCTGTATATTTGAAACATTATAAATCAACTATACTTCAGTAAAAAAATAAAAATTAAAAAAATTCAGGGGACTTCCCTGGTGACACAGGGGTGAAGAATCCGCCTGCCAATGCAGGGGACACGGGTTCGAGCCCTGGTCCGGGAAGATCCCACGTGCCATGGAGCAACTAAACCCATGCGCCACAACTACTGAACCTGCTCTCTAGAGCCCGCGAGCCACAACTACTGAGCCCATGTGCCACAACTAATGAAGCCCGTGCGCCTAGAGCCTGTGCTCCACAAGAGAAGCCACCGCAATGAGAAGCCCACACACCGCAATGAAGAGTAGCCTCCACTCGCTGCAGCTAGAGAAAGCCTGCTCACAGCAACGAAGACCCAATGCAGCCAAAAATAAATAAATGTATAAAAAAAAAAATTCGGGAATTCTCTGGCTGTCCAGTGGTAGGTCTCTGTGCTTTCACTGCCGAGGGCCCAGGTTCAGTCTCTGGTTGGGAACTGAGATCCCACAAGCCACATGGTAGCCGCCCCCCCCAAAAAAAAGGGCCACAGAGTTAAGAAAAAAAATCTCTCTCTCCGTGAACAGGGCGGCTGCATTTATTCAAAGGATGTGGCCCTGAATATCTCCCATAATTGCGAAGTATGTACAATTCAAAACGAGTTATTTCCACAGGGATCATCTTAATTCTAATTTTCTCATATGATAATTGTTCTCACATAATTAATAAAGAGGAGTTTATTAGTCTAATTAGACATTGCAAGGTTTCATAAGTAAAAGATTGTAATTCATAGGAACTTTCCCGTGTGGGTTGGGGGAAGTCATGGTGGGGATTACCGGTGGCAAGTCACTGGGCATGAGGCCTGGGCGGGGGGGGGGGGGGGGGGGGGGGGGGGGGGGGGGGGGGG